TGGTAATTGTATATAACTAAGATTGCATATATAAATTCCTCTTTTTCTTTTCACGTTGGAGTAGAGCTCTCTGGTTGGAGAGAAAAAGAGGAAAGATGAACCGCGCAAGAAAAAGTTTAGCTAAAACGCGAATCAGGCCTAATGGCGCTATCTGAATTATTTCGTGCATCATGACTGTCGGCGCGTCGTGTGATAGTGGTATCACTGCCGTTGCCGGATTCAAGATGTAGGGGAGCGCGTTTAAATTGCCTGTTCCACCATACACGACGATGGCAGACTTTAACGACGGGGTGGACGGAAAGCTGGCGTTTAGAATGCGAAAGGTCAACCCGGAGCAATTTCACACGCTCGTAAAAATGCACCTGTCCTTCGAATTGGATCTCAATACGGAAGAGTGAGTGATATACCCGTTGTTTTCACGACTATCCGTATGTCCCACGATTGGTGTACCGTTGACACCGCTTCGATTCACAACAAGATTTCTGATACCGTAGCTTCGTTCTTCGTTCGTCTCGCATTTCGCCAGTTTTACCGTTAACGCTCTCAACCGCTAGCTTATTTGTCATAACTCTGATAACTTATAAGCCATTCTCTGTTACAAGACTCGTTATAAAAGTGTAAAATTATATTATTTGCACTCGATAACATTTTGATTGATCCTGCTTTAGCAGCGATGGTACTAATGAGAAGGCAAGGTTGAAGAAATGGGGTCTCCTAAGCTTCACCAAGAAATCCAAGTCTTCGGTTAATTTGGATAAAGGTACAGAAGGTGGCATGTTGTCTGAGGATGGTATCAATCACTTGACGCAACTGATAGATTATCTGTCTAAGGAACAAAGTAAGTAAATATATCGGATAATGAGAAATTCAAGAATGGAATTAAATATAGTTTTTATCTTGTAGATATCACACAAGAGGGAATATTCCGACGAACCGGAAAGCTAACGAGGCAGCAAGACTTGAAAACAGCAATGTCTCAAGGCGTATTTTTAGATCTTGACGATAGTAGATTCAGTGTACACGATTGTGCCTCCGTGTTAAAAGGGTTCCTGGCAGAGCTATCTGAACCGCTCCTGACAGACCTACATTATCCGGCGCATTGTCAGATTGCTGGTAGATAAAAAAAAATGTGTAGTTTTACCTGTGTATGCTACACACGACGTTTGCCACCACAATTATATCGATTATTTGCAGAATTGTGCAGCTTGGATGCAAAAACGAACGACGCGAGATTATTGAGTTCCTTACAATTATTGCTGCTGCTTTTGCCATCCCCTAACAGAATTTTACTGAAAGCTATTCTCACCCTGTTGAATAAGACAGCGAGTTACGAGCATAGTAATAAAATGAACAGCGACACGCTGGCCACTCTCTTTACGCCACACCTATTGTGCCCACGAAAGCTGTCACCCGAGGCCTTGCATATCAATTCTCAGAATCTGTCATGTCTGGTCGCATACATGATTAGGAAAGGTACGGAGTTGTTTGAGATTCCACCGAAATTGGCTACAGATATAAGAGCGTACTGGTTGGAACAAGAGAGGAAATTATTGAGCCCTAAGAAGACTGATGTAAGTTTCAGACTAAAAAATGACACTGTGCCCCATTCTTGCGCGATACGATAAAAGATTTACAATTACAGCTGAACGAGTCGGTACCGGACGCAACTAGTACAGCCCATACCGTGTTCAGTTTCGTCGATCGTAAATTAACGGCGAAGGCCAATTCCACGCAAGACACGCAGGCAGCCTTGGCTCAGTTGTACGCACATATACAAGCCATGCCAGAATCTGCCAAGAAGCGACGACTTGTGAAACAATTTAACAAGGAAAATGGACAAGGTACACCTAGGCACGTGAAGAATTGTAAAACTAAGAGTCTCGGAGATTCCATCAAGAAACATATTTTTCAAAAGAAGAGCCACAAAAAGTTCGTCAACATTAATATCGGATGCAATATCACTAGATCGAGCAGCGAAGAAAATATATTATCAACGGTTAGTTTCCTTATCTTTCTATCGAATATTTTTCGTTATATATTTATTATTTGTTTGTGTATAACAACAGCACGTTTTATCTGTTTTTCTTTGCATGTACTGTATAGAAACTAGAAGATTCATTTCTTCCGACAAGAGCGGTCCTTAGCAAATCGAATGACGAACTTAGCACGGAAAACTGTGATACAATTAACAACGATCTTTTACATGCCAAACACATGAGTAGTATAGATAGCATTAAGAATGAGACTTTGACAAATTATAAAGCAAAAAAGAAGCTATCGATCGATGAATCTATAAACGTGAAAGAGGAGTTAGATGGAAAGGACACACAGCATGACGCGAAACAGGATTTGGGTTCAATCGAGCTCAGTTTGAGTACGAGTTTGCAAGAAATTAATGTAATCATTAATGAGGACAGTCAATCTGACACTGGTAAATTAACGCGACCATTTAGCGAACCACCCAACCTGTATTCCACTCGCAATGTAACTCACTGTGATAATTTAACGAATGACGGTATGCGGCGAAATTCGGAATCTACCCTCGCATCTATAGCAACAAGAAATACAGTACAAGTCTCTCCTTCAGAAACTTGTACCTTGAACGCAAAGTCATCCGAAACTACCTTGAATGTTGATTCGCATGCTGAAAGTGCATGTACACATAATTTACAGTCTCCGATGGTAAAAAACAGATTCAGGAATGTGTACGCTGTTCATACGTCGACGCCATCGAGTTTATTACGACGAAGCTTGGCAACTAACGACTATATCTTGACTCCTATTACTAACAATGATAGAAGCATGAGTCCGATTACGCAAAGTGCAACAAAAATGACGAAAGCCATGCAGGTACGTAGATTTCAAATATATTTCTATGTGAAAAATTTATATATATGTAATTGAAAAATATCAAGATATTAAAATGAATATCGAATTAAAATATCGTGCAATGTAAAACGAAAAATACATTTATCTTCTAATTTGTAACAGGAAACTATGATGACTCCGCGTTCCAGGAAGCCAGTGATGATTGTTTCAACTTCGAATCTATGCAATCTCGTCACCGGCAACAACAGCTGCGATTTGCGTGGATCGAATCTGGACATGGTTAGTGCAATAAATAATTGCGCTTCCATTTTAGAGGAATCCCAGACGTACAACAGTACGGACAATGCGCTGGCTCACGCGAAAGATGTCGAGAATAAAAAAAATAATAGATTGGACACCCTCGAGAAGCATAGCTGTGTACAATCGATCGCAAACTGTTGTGCCTGTACGCAACAAAGTTCGATGTCCATAACGAGCACGTTCAGGGAATATTTGTTATCGAGAAGCGTGTTAACCGCTAGTCCCGTCGATCTTAGTTTTACGTCGCGGACAGGGGACTTTGAGCAATCGGAATCCGATTTGAATATATTAAACGACGATACCCTGTCCGACAGTTTATTGTGTTGCTTGGACGGTAACCAACCAGAATCTGACACTTCCGGCATAGCATCCGGCAGCACGAATAGCGCGAACAATTCCACTGAGAAAACAGAGGATTTACCTTCTCCAAGAAAACGAGGGACCAGCTTACAGCGAAACGATTCTAAAAAATCCGCGAGAGAAAGCGTGGTCAAGAGCACGAGAAGCGAGGAGTGCAAACATAAGCTGCGAGACGAATCGACGTTAAATTCTGCGAAAATAAAAGATAGCTTTCAAGAGACATCATTTTAAGCTATTCATATAAATTATTTAATTATTAGTATTAGTATATCGTTAAGTATAAGTAGGTTTCTTTGTATACTTTAGGGCTGAAGAGAATTACGACATTAATTTAAGTTTTTTTTTTTTTTACCATTATGACCTTATGACAGGGTGTCTTACGCAACTGGGCAGTGCTGTAAAACGGATTTTGGAGATAGAAAAAATACAAGACAAAATTAAATGATTTTAGATGCTTCACATTACTATGTTACTTTCGTGCATTTTTATAGATAAATGCTATTACAAGGCGTAGTTGCGTTTTCTTTGAATGAAATCCTATATTTTCAAGTACTAATTAATGCAGGTTTTCCTTCTCTTTACGAATAACTATTATAAAGTTATACTTGAAGATTGTTGCTTTAGAAATTATTTTAACCGACTGATTAGAAAAATATCTATTAGATGTTCGGGGTAATTTTTAAGCATTACTTTATAATAGCTTTTTGCAGAGGAGGAAAAACTGCATCGATTAGTGTACTCAAAAATATGTAGTTTTATTTAAAAATAAAAAACGCAATTGCACTTTGTAACCCACGCACAAAAATGCATGAAAGTAAAAAATGTGAAGCATCCAAAATCACTTAATTTTGCCTTATGATATTATTTTTTCCATCTTCACTCCCGTTTTGCGTGAAACATTCTATAAAATTCATATAATTTTGTCTCGAACGAAAATTGATTATCCAACAGTAACTGGATTATTTATTCCATTTATGTGGAAATTAAATCGTTACTAACTTTGTGCATATGATGCACGATGATGCAAGATATTTAGAAGACTTTCATTTCCCTTTCATGACAATCTTGATAAAAGACGTTTGTAAAAGCTATGTATTGCTATGAAATGCAACAAAGTATTTTTCTAATTCGTTCTGTAATCATCAAATTGCACAATACATAACTATATGCTTTGATGTTAAGTGTAATCATTATTTTTATACACCTTAAATAAGTGTACTATGCAATGCAAGGTTTAAAATATTTACAAGTAAAATTGTTAACGACAGTATTACGTGAGAAACAACTCGCGTAATACATTTAATTATAATTATATACAAAAAAATGAGATATTTTAAGGATTATTCAAGATCAATCTATGTTATATGTTGTATACAAAGTCGTGCAAATCAAAATCTAGAGAATAATATATCACTTTTTGTATTCTTAAATATAAGAACAGATTGTTTTAAAGATATCATGTGACTTTAACATTACGAATGTGGTCAGGAAATAATGAATCTTCTCGTGTGTATGAACGAGCAATCATTTAATTAATATAAATTGATTAGATAAAATTCATACAAAAAGGAATATACATTTGTACATCAGTACATATCATCGTGATTTAAATCCGGTATATATGCAAAACCTCGCTCCTTCAGAGCCTTGTTCACTCGCTTTTTCTGCTCCTGCTTCGACTCCTGTTCGCGCCTCTGAGCATCCAAAATCTCATCCACCGTCACCTTTTTCAACGGCAACACCTTTTCCTTCTCTATATCCTGCAACATGGGTGTATTCGTTAATTAAGTCCCACATAGGGATCATTAGTGTTTACCAGGAGAATTATATATAACAAATATCTTTCTATTCGTGAAACGCTTACTATTTCTCCTAAAAGCACAACGTTCTCCCCTCTTACTATGAAAATACCTCTCGGGATATCACCATACTCCTGACCGACGTGAATTCTTTCAATGGTACTCTGAAGCACTATATTAGCAAATTGATCGACACTTTTAAGATAGCCGATTAACGTTCTGCCATCCCTCAATAAAACCATAAGTTTCTCTAGAGACAAGAAATAAGTGTCACGTGATTCAACATATTAATAAACATTTGACAAGAACGGAAACTCCTCCAAATTTTAGACCTGTTATGACTGTAATTTGACAAGTTTTATTTTATTTAAAAAAAATAATTATTAATTTGTGCAGCTCAAGGGAAGCTAGGACCAAATGACGGTAATAACGAAAGTGCTAAATATTGCAATAATAATTAAGCGCCGGCACGTGGGTGCCTTCACGACCGCACGAATAATCGGAACACGATACGCACTCTCGAGTTCTTCGAGCAGCGACGCTGTCCCCGGTGGCAATTCATTAGCCTCGTTCATTTCACCCGAGTCAAACGAGATTGACGAACAAATCGAGCAGAGCGAATCACCGGCTCTGGATCTTTCTAACGTCGATAACTGTCAATAATCCTTCCGCAGCCTCCGTTCAACGTGATCACGCTCGTCCAAGATTCCAAATAACGCTGCAGCGTCGCGAGATCTGTGATCCGAATGGAGAACTAGAAACGGCGAACGGCGAACAGAGATAATATCGATCTCGCGCTTGTTTCCTACGTTCGATACATCGATACACGAGAGGAAAGTACGCGATTTTATCGATACGCGTCGAATTCGTTTGCGTCACCGAATGCAGATGGCGACGGCGTGGCGTTACACATTTTTCGCGGCAAAAGTGCGACGGGCCGGGAGTCCGGAGCCGCCGGAGTTGGTTTTTCGCGTCGTCGCGTGCGGCCCTGCGAGGCTTTTAATTCGAATAAATCCGAGTTGACGAGGAGTCGGGGCCTTTTAACATTCCAACGATAACCGGCGCTTCGGTTCGAGAGGAACGAGACTCCTGGGCCCGTTACTCGCTACACCCCTTCGTCGTCTTTTCTCCGCCGATTTGACCCGGCGCCCGGCGCTCGTCTACGCTCGTCGGCACCCGGAGCCCGGAGGATGCAAATCGTCTGTTCGCGTAAGCCGATATCGTAATTATTGATCGAGCTTTATTCATTTCCGGCCTAAATAGCAGCGATATGTCTCTTCGTGCGCTCTCTTCTCCGGATAGCCGGAATTTGTCGAGGACAGATCCGACAGATTTGGACAGCGTCTGCCGTCTGCCGCAAATTTTGTCGACAGAATGCCAGCAAAAATATGACAGAATCTGTTAACAAAATGTAATGGCGGATTGCAGGATTAAGCGTTTACGCGTAGATACTTGGAGCTTTCCAGTGAGCGACACAAGTGTCGTTTTGTCTTTGTTACTTATTGCCAAAAAAGAAAGGTAGAACGACGTTTTTGCGTCGACTTGTGTCGCTTGCTGGAAAGCTCCCATTCTACATATTTCTACATACATATATGTATGCATAATGAGTAATTCGTGGATCATCGAACATTTATAATTTGGGAAGTAATATCGGGAATTTATGCTTTGTTTTCAGTTTTATTTTCAGTTACCATTATTTTGTTTGCGCACAATTTTTAGCATTCCACGAAAAATTACCAGATCAACTCAGCATAAATATTTCTATATTAGTATTAAATTTCTTTTATTTTATCTGTACAGTTAATTAATAATTAAATTTTTAACTGAAATGCATTTAATTTAATCTAGTTTGAAACTATTTAAAAAATTTTTTTAGATTGTAAAAATACAGTTTAAAAAAATTAATCAATCAGTTAATTTATAATATTTTACATCGCTTATATTGTCTGTATGAAAAAGGTTCGCATAAACATAACGTAAATAATAAGTGAACAATTTACAAGATGTAATTTTGAAATACGGCACAATCTGGCGAATTGACTGTAGGAATAAAATTGAAGAAAATTTGCCCTTTTGTAACCATTTCAATAATGTATTTTATGTAAATATACATGAAATGACAGATTTTGCTCGGTTTCTGCCAAGAATCTATAATCATATTATATCTGTGGGTTCTGCCGGCAAAACACATCAAGTTTAATCTTTTCACTGCGGAACTGCGGTACACCATGCACATTGGAACAACGATCGCTATATACTGTGCGATAGTCACACATCCATCATTACGACAATTATATTATTTATCCGGGCATTATATTTACTCACACATTGTTTACCGAACGGGTTTCGTAACTGTTAATTTATATTCAATGCCGTAGATACTGTGTTTGCAAATAACAGGCAATTTTCTATTCTGTATATAAATGTATATACATATATGGCGTTTGCAGCGAAAGGGTTAAATGCGGACACAGATGATACCGGATCTATTTGCGGTATCTGAACAAATCTGCTGCCAATCTATTGTCATATACTGCGGACAGTTTGTTTACTGGGTTATTTTATTTGCACATAAGTTTCACTTTTATCAAATGTATCAAAAGACGCGGTAGCGTCTCTCGCATCAGTAAGTATATAGGTATTTTTCCGCCAATAAAATACATACATTCTTTCATGAGCGATAGAGTAGATCTCGACCAGGGTAGGAGGAATTTTCAAGTTAACGTTTACAGAAAAGCAGAAAGATCGCAGAAACATTTTAGCGGTATTTCTTACAAAATTTGTCATATTTTTGCAAGATTCTAAAAATGAATCGACGTTGCTGCCGTATTGTCGTCGAATCGCAACACTTTCTTTAAAAAAAAAATCGTGGCGCGAACGCGCAATGATGTCTCTAATGTTGACAAAACGATAAATATAACATATGTCTATTTATTTTTTTCTCTTTTTGTGTAACATTTGTTTATACAACTATATCGTAAGATTACTTTGCACATAGATTTAAAGCGATAATGCTGATCGAGATATTCTTAAATTCTACTTGATCCGTGCCAGAATCTTAAAAAAAGGAAGAAATTTCTATCGCCTTTTCTACTTTTATAATTATATATATGAATAGCGAATCTCAACGCGCGAGTGTGAAGTCTGAATCGGCCTTCCGACGCTCATTAAACCATCGTAAATTAGCATTTGCAATAAAAGGAAATGCATATCCAGCGATATACGGGCGGGAGGAGGAGAAGGAAAGGGGAAGAGAAAAAGAAGGTAGACGAATGTTTCGAACAACATTGTGGCGGCAATGGGGTATACCAGAGTCCCGGCGCGGCGCGTTTCTGCGACGCACCTGGGTCATCTCGACGCCTATCCGGGACTCCGCTTTATACGCGGACACTTTATGCCCCCGATTGCGAGCGACACCGGAACGCTCTCAACTACACCCGGCGACCATCCAGAATCCTTTTTCCGATCGCAAAACAACGGAGGAGAGGAGAGCGCGATTTAATTTAAGGACCCTGTGCGCGTGAAGCCGCGCGCGGCGCGTTTCCCTTCCCTTATGCTGCGTATAGCGTAGTTCGCCCAGTCCGGCGGCACGTTTCAATAATCGTGGGCACGACAACGACGCGACGAGCTTTCTCGTAAACCAGATCCGTCGCCCTCGGTGCAACGAATCTTATCGGGATGGGGAAAGTAACGCACGGTAATGCAGTATTTTCAAACACCGTGCACGCGCGCGCGGCACTTGATCTTTGACGATCTCCGTCGGGAATTTTCGCCGAAAGTTCGTCACGCATCCTTTCTTTTCCTCGCGAATGATGATGAATATATTTAGATCTGCAATGTACGTGAGGCCACGATCGTAATCTGGTAATCCGTTTATAAATAAAGAATGCTAAATTAAGAAAGAAGATGATAAGTAAACTGGAACATTCAAGGGACAATAAACGAGCAGTCCAGGATATTAATAACTTAAAATGTGATTTATTATCAATTACACAAATTTTATGGAACGTTTCGAACTTCGCTGAGTTTTTCTTCAGCCGATACAAAAATAAATAAGAAGGATTATGTCATATATAATTATAATAAGACTCGTTGTCAGTAAAGTTCGAAACATTGCGTAACATTTGTCTAGTTGATAATAAATTATGTTTTAAGTTACTATAATATCCTGGACTGTTCGTTTATTGTCTCTTGAATTTTTCATTGCTCTGCAAACACGAGTCTGATGTTAGTGGAGACGATAATCACACAAAATCTAACATATTATATTAAATACAATATGTAACATATTGTATTTAAATTTTATATGTATATCTATCACATTGTATCAGTATCATACATTATACATCACGATTACGCAGACTTCGCATTCTGCGTTCGTACAAATTATACGCGTGGAAGATCGAAGTACCTAAATAATAATGTCGTGAAAAAGTTGGTGGGACCGCGCGACACTGTTAGATACCGCATGGATTTCGGCGCGGCTGTGTAAGGCTATATTTGAAATTCAAATAAACCTGTAAGAGGTTTTACGACGGGGTTAAAGCCGACGTTACTTGGCTGTAAGAATCACGGGCCGTCTTTGCTTCTGAGGAAGGTGAGCGCGTTATACGTGTTAAATTCGCGGTTTCAATCAAACGTATACGCGTATACGCTCGAGCTTGTCAATTTTTTCGTTCTCGTAGAGAGGTCTTGTAGATACTTTAGAATATAAATCCGGATAGATTGTTAATTCTTTGTGTTTCCCCTCGTAGTTAAACGCTAGCGTTGTCGGATCCCCCTCGGCTCCTTCTTCGAACGTTGATGAACTCGATGGATAGCCCCAACGATATAGCTTACGCGCTACGAAATCGAAACCGGGGTCGCGAGTCACGACCGAGTCGTGCTGAATAGGAGTCCGAAACGATTTAATGCTCAGCGAATGGCGGTCTTGGGAAATCGGTACCGCAAATACGGCGAAACGACGCGAGATTGTGGAACGGAGTCCGGGGGAGAGACGGGACGCCGTGGGGGGGGAGGGGGGGAGGGGGGACCGCCGGAGCGAGGACGAACAGTTATACCGGGGGGGTGGAGGATGAGGGAATGGAACCCACGTAGCAATCGTCTTGTCTTTAAACGCTTCGTAAAAAAGAGCTGGACACGATTTACGCTTGATTACAGCCCCGACGCGGGGGTCAAAAGTCGAAACGAAATGACTATCGATATCGATGGGAGCGAGCAAGTGGAGATTATAGGTAACGGCTAATAATGCGGCCCGATCTCTGCTCTCCCCCACTTCGCCCCCTTCCCCCTTCCCATTGCAAAAACGAGCCGCTCTAAAGAGCGCTCAAATGCTCAATCGTCGGTTTTCTGCCCCCTTCCTTCCCCCTTCCCGTCCCTTTTGCTGCACGCCGCTTCGTCTACGACACACACACACACACTCGACAATTACCATTAAAATCCCGCCGTTTATGCGATTGCTCGAAAATCTGCAGGAAAAAAATTCGTCACGCTTTACTCGTCACGTTTCTCGGACGTCCCGAGGTTCGAGCCTCGTACGACTCTCGTGCCGCGTTTGAGAATAAATCAGGATTCACGAAACCGACGCCGAACCGGTTTCGACGGTTTGGAGTCCCGATTCTGCAAATACATCGGCGACGTTCACTCGCGACAATACTGGCGCGGCGATTCGCGTAAGGTACCCTCTTTTCCACATGTCTATACTTAACTGCGAGGATCGATTTCC